ATCAGTCCTTAATTTTTATTTTAATCACATCAGTCCATTTAATTTTTATTTGTGCTTATTGTGCATACATGTCTTTTATTTTGTCCATTTTAGTCCAAAAATTAAAAAAATGTTTCAATTTAGTTTATCCTTTTTAAGTTTTCCTATTAAGACTTAAACATAAAGATAGTAAATAAGTTTAATTAAAACCCCAATGTTAAAGTATGCAACCATGTTTAAACGGAGGATTATGAAGTGTGCGTATGCCCTTCTTCACTCCTAACCGAACCCCCGAACCCTGATCTCTGTGCAGACCTGTTTTAAGTGACTTGTCCCACCTTATAATTTGGACGAGTGGCGACTCCCTTTTTCTTTTATATTTTTCACACTTGATTTTCAATTTATTTTGAAAAAAATCTAAAGTGGTCGTCAACAACAGTGTCATCTCGTGGACCCCAAATGCCATCCATTCACTACCAAAATAATCACCAAGTGGCCCATCATCAAACCGACCATTGTGAAAAAGTGTTAGTACACCCGTATACTTAGCATTAGCCATGTCTGTAAATAAAGATAAAAAAAAGTCAGCAAAAAAATCAACAAAAAAATCAAAATCTAGGACCACATGTGGGACATTGTAACCCTAAACTTAAATATTATTGAATACATACAACAACCACACAACAACCAAATAAAGCTCCATTACTATTTAAAAATAAAAAGTAAAAGTGACAATAAGGTGAAAAACAGTTAGAGTAAAGATTCATTCTATAAAAATAAGTTAAAATTAAGAAATAACTATGGAAAAATACCTTATAAACAACAGAAATAAGCCTTCTTGAGATTCTTCCCCCTTGAGATTCTCCAAATGTTGTTGCACTTGACAGAGAATCTGCTCTCTTTGTCCTTCGGCCTTCTTCACTTCTATGTCCTTTGTTTCTTTACTTAATAAATCCATGATTTTTCCTTGTTAATTGAATGAAGATTGACGGTAAACCCAGGTGGAGTAAAATTGGTCCACATCAGCACCCAATCAGCTTCCAATCAGCGTCAACTCATCAGGTTTTAACGGGCAATGGAGGGTCTAACGGTTGGATGATGTCATTCTCATTAAAAGGGGTGTTTTGCGGATAAGATGAAGTAGAGGGGCTGATTTGCCATAATTTCTAGTACAGGGGCTGATCTGCCACAACATGGCTGGTAGAGGGGCTGAATTGCACCTTCTGCCATTTTTAGCGCATCCCTATCCCACATATCAATTTTTTACGGCATGAATGGATGTGAATGTCATATCTTTGACATCTAGACATTTCAAGGACACATTGCACATGGTTGCTGAGCTCTAGGTCCTACTGGCCCACGGTGTCAGACGCTGCTAATAATTGTACATTTTCATTCGCTCAAGACTTTATATCTCTCTTCACAGAGTCAAACTAGCCTTTTTTTTTTGAATTATTTGCCCTGCTTTTGCAGAAAATTGATCCCTCCTCAGCTTTGTCTGCATGAGTGAACGGCAGGCCATTCCCATTTAACGCTTTCAAAACGGGGCTATGATATTAGCAAGAGGGAAAGGAATCCAAGGCAGAGAAAAAATTTCGAGAAAAAAAAGACGTACAACTGTGTATCGTTTCGAGTGTAATTTTTTTAAATAATAAACACAAGCAATTTTCTACAAATATTTTTACTATACCGTAGGGAATGGGGAAAAGGGGAGCGGGGGTCTTGAACATCAAACCAGAGACGATGAGGCGGATATGGTTGAATTTTGATTATAATTATAATTCAAATATTAATTAATTATA